TCATTCTTATTTATTATAATACATTATTTTCCTTTTGCTGAGCTGAGAGATGATCTGAAATTGTATGGATTTCAGAATCAACGTCACTTTATTTCAGCTTTAATTGTTACGAGAAACTGTTTAAGTCTTTCTATGTTGAATGTTTGAATCTAAAATTAGTTAATTGAGGTTTTGCATTATTGCTCTAGTGTTCATATTTTCTGAGCCTTAAAGCTGGCATCCCTTGAATTTTCATACAACCGGTGCTAATGGTTAATCCAGTCTTTTGTGGTAGGTTTCCGTAAAGCACTGTCAAGCTAATTCCCTCCTCATGTTTTACTTCTCTGATAAAGCATGAAATCACCTTGGTAAGTACAGTGAGAGACTGTAGTTTGCTTTTAACTGCTGGGGTTATTGCTTCCAGCCTGAACTCTTGTCTCAGGCAGTTAAAACTCAAGTACTGCGTGGTTCGTTCTGGCTTCCACTGCAAGACCCAATCTTAAAATGAAACTAGTTATTAAAAAAAAATGATTGTGGATTTTGGAATGAGGATTTACGGCAAATTCTGGTTCCATCTCAGAGAAACAGAAAGTGGCAGCCAGAGGTATTTATATCGGAAAAAAGAGCATTGCCAGAAGGTCAAGGGAGGCGATTATTCCCTTCTACTCAGGAGTGCTGGGCCCAGTTCTGGGCTCCTCAGTACAAGAGAGGCATGGACATACTGGAGCAAGTCCAGCAAAGGGCCACTGAAACGATTAAGGAACTGGAGCATCTGACATACGAGGAGAGGCTAAGAGAGCTGGGGCTGTTAGCCTGGAAAAGAGAAAGCTCTGGGAGGATCTTATCAATGTTTATAAATATCTGATGAGAGGCAGTAAAGAAGGTAGAGCCAGACTGTTCTCAGTGGTGTCCAGTGACAGGACAAGAGGCAATAAGCACAAATTGAAATACAGGAAATTCTATTTAAACATAAAAAAACCGAAACACCTTTCTTTACAGTGAGGGTGGTCAAACATTGGATACCCAGAGAGGTTGTGGAGTCCCCTTCCTTGGAGATGGATATTCAAAACCAGACTGGACAATGTCCTGAGCAACCTGCTGTAGTTGACCCTGCTTTGAGCAGGGGGTTGGACTAGATACCTCCAGAGGTGTCTTTCAACCTCAGCCGTTCTGTGATTCTGTAAAATCTTGTATCAGTGGGCAAGTATCTGTCTATGTGCATGGGTAGGTCAGGCTGGGGGAACACTTCTACTCCTGCCGTGAACACTCTGTTCCCCTGGAGAGCTGGGGGGCAGGACATTCTGTGACCAGAATTTTGTTGGTTTGCATTTCTAACGATAAAGATATCTACCTGATTTATTTTAAGTGTAAATCGTAGGGAAGTTAGTGTTATTGGAGCAGAGATGCTGTGTTTGGGAGTTAATTATTTTTTGCATGATAAAGATCCCCCCTCCCCCACCTCACTCCCAGTATGTAAGACCTAGTCTACAGTGATCCCTCTGCTGTATAGTTGTTTAAAATGTTTACTTTTGGGGGGATTATCTGACTGATTTTCAGGATTTAGTTTAGGATTTCAGTATTTTTCTCTTTTTTAAGGTCTGAAGTCTAAGGTCCAAGTCTAAAACAGTCTGAAAATCTGTCTAAGTAGTTTTTATTATTTCTTATAAAGTAGGTTTATATGCCAGTGGCTTAATAAAATTAATTACTTGCATATTCAGACCTTGTATTTGTTTAGTTTTTAACAAATTATATTCTGGGGACATTTTATGCTGCGTTTTATGGCAGTTTCTTCTGCCTACTCTGGAGCACGTGCCATGGTGGTTTTAAGTGTGCTGTGCATGTTTGACAAGTTAAAAACGTAGCAATCTCCATCAGCGCTGAGCCACGCTGTCTCAGGCTTTGTTTTTGTTGGCTGGTATCCAGTACCATGCTATAAAATACATTTACTTGACAGTAGAAAGTGGAGAACCACATTAACTATGAAGTTTAAAAAGGCTGGCTAAACACATGCAATAAATATTAATAAAAGAAAAGGCCACCCACCTTTGACCTTCGATATTTGTTATTAGCTTTATATGTTTTAGAATTACCATAGCGTTCGAGTAATAGCATTACATAACAGTGTGTAGGAATCTTTATTTAAACCAAATAACTTATTAATAACCCTGTATTGATTATTTTGGGAACATGTAGCAGGGACTATGGAGATAATGAATTACAAGAATTTCACTTTGTACTTCCTAGTTGTCTCTGAAAAGATCATTGTCCTTTAGTTGTCTCAAAATAAGTAAATCATGTTTATTTATACCTGTGAGTAAATGGAAAGGCATGCTGTTGTGTGCATATGTATGTAGTGGGCATGATGCTTTATGAATATAGCTTACAAAGATTTATCCACTGATTCTTGTAAGCTCATCAGCTCCTCTCTCTGTCTGTCTCTCTCTCTGTCTGTCTGTCTCTCTCTCTGTCTGTCTGTCTCTCTCTCTGTCTGTCTGTCTCTCTCTCTGTCTGTCTGTCTCTCTCTCTGTCTGTCTGTCTCTCTCTCTGTCTGTCTGTCTCTCTCTCTGTCTGTCTGTCTCTCTCTCTGTCTGTCTGTCTCTCTCTCTGTCTGTCTGTCTCTCTCTCTGTCTGTCTGTCTCTCTCTCTGTCTGTCTGTCTCTCTCTCTGTCTGTCTGTCTCTCTCTCTGTCTGTCTGTCTCTCTCTCTGTCTGTCTGTCTCTCTCTCTGTCTGTCTGTCTCTCTCTCTGTCTGTCTGTCTCTCTCTCTGTCTGTCTGTCTCTCTCTCTGTCTGTCTGTCTCTCTCTCTGTCTGTCTGTCTCTCTCTCTGTCTGTCTGTCTCTCTCTCTGTCTGTCTGTCTCTCTCTCTGTCTGTCTGTCTCTCTCTCTGTCTGTCTGTCTCTCTCTCTGTCTGTCTGTCTCTCTCTCTGTCTGTCTGTCTCTCTCTCTGTCTGTCTGTCTCTCTCTCTGTCTGTCTGTCTCTCTCTCTGTCTGTCTGTCTCTCTCTCTGTCTGTCTGTCTCTCTCTCTGTCTGTCTGTCTCTCTCTCTGTCTGTCTGTCTCTCTCTCTGTCTGTCTGTCTCTCTCTCTGTCTGTCTGTCTCTCTCTCTGTCTGTCTGTCTCTCTCTCTGTCTGTCTGTCTCTCTCTCTGTCTGTCTGTCTCTCTCTCTGTCTGTCTGTCTCTCTCTCTGTCTGTCTGTCTCTCTCTCTGTCTGTCTGTCTCTCTCTCTGTCTGTCTGTCTCTCTCTCTGTCTGTCTGTCTCTCTCTCTGTCTGTCTGTCTCTCTCTCTGTCTGTCTGTCTCTCTCTCTGTCTGTCTGTCTCTCTCTCTGTCTGTCTGTCTCTCTCTCTGTCTGTCTGTCTCTCTCTCTGTCTGTCTGTCTCTCTCTCTGTCTGTCTGTCTCTCTCTCTGTCTGTCTGTCTCTCTCTCTGTCTGTCTGTCTCTCTCTCTGTCTGTCTGTCTCTCTCTCTGTCTGTCTGTCTCTCTCTCTGTCTGTCTGTCTCTCTCTCTGTCTGTCTGTCTCTCCTCTTTTTTTTTAGCAAGAACACGAAGCAGATAAACAGCTCAGAGAAAAGTACTGTTCATCTTGTAGATGAGTGTCTAATTTGTGGTGGCTGAATGGGTTTCAGAATCGTAGTTTTAATTCTCAATGCCTCGTAACATTGAAAAAAAAAGAACATGGATCAAACCAGAGAGAGGAAGGAAAATGAAGTGGGAAAAGTGATTCAGCAGTCAACAAAACTGATAAAGAACCATTCACTTCTAGATCACATGGTTCTCATCTCCCGAGTTATATGGCTATATTTCACTTGCACACTTAATTATATTTTGACATTATTGTATTTCTCTTGTTGAGACATTAGTGGCTTCCATTTTGTGACTTTTATGTGCTATATTATGAAAATATAGATATAGATACTTTCTTGACAGATGGGTGGAAGTGGTTGAATATTGAATTATTAATTCACTTTGAAAGGATTCTGTACCTTTTTTTTTTTTTTTTTGAAAAAGGAGAAGTGGTGAGCTTGGGGAAAAAAGGCTGGAAAAATGATTGGGCATTATTCAGTGAAATAATAACATGAAGATGCATCCTGCTAGCTCTCAGTACATTTATTACAAAGTTAACACAAACACTGTCAAGACCTCAGTCTTTAGTCTTGGAGAGTATTCCTTTACACTACCTCTCAAGAGTAGAGTTTTTTTTTTTTTTGTCCCGTTAGTCAAATGCAGGTATGTTTTTCATATTAAGATGTTTTATCCTGCATGGCAAATTATGCTGACTCCTTTGACTCTTTTGAGTCAGATTCCTTGATAGTCTTACAGAGTTTCTGTTTTGCTTTGGTGATTCAGATTGAGCACAGCCATCAGTCATACAGAAGACCATGCTATGTGTGTAACAGAACAATGCTCTTAATGTCTGAAAACCAGTTTCCATGCTGACTAGAAGGGTGACAGAGCTGTGAGACATTGGTTTCAAATACTAAGTTCTTCAGGGCATTCTAGGGATGAAAGAACCAGGAATGGAGATCAACTGCTCTTCGTTTCTTCAGGCACTGAGTGAAAGGTCAGCTCTGGATGAAAGTTTTAGTTTGAGAGGAAGGGAAAAGTAGTTAAAGTAAGAAACAGGGTGGAATAATTAAGAGTTTAAAAAGGAAAATGAAAAAGTCATGAGGGCCTGCATTGCTGAATCTGAAGCATCTCATTGTTCTCTTTCAAATGTGCCTTTAACTTTCTGTTTTCCAGGATCTTCATGGGTATAATGAACAGTTAGCCTGAGAAGATCACTGGTGATCACACTACCACCCATTTTTACTTCCTTATCTACCTATGTCCATGTGTTGTCACTCCTTTTAGATTGTGTTCTGCTTAGGAGAGGAACTTCTATTCATTTGTATATTGACATATTCAGTCACATGTTCAAGCTTATTCTTTGTACATTGTGACTTTGAGCTGTTCTCTGACAATATGAATGTTAATTCTAAGATTAGATGAATGACCAGCTATCAATATTTTGCTTTGTTTCAGAGTGTTGTGCGTTGCCTTTGGCATCCCAAGCTGAACCAGATCATGGTTGGCACAGCAAATGGATTGGCAAAAGTATACTATGATCCTATCAAAAGCCAGAGGTAATTTTAGTGATTAACGATCAAGAACATTATTTTTTCTCAATCTTAGACTGATTCTGTGATTTTCTGGTTGTAAGAAATGGGGAAAATTGATTTAGAATTGGTGTTTTGCAGTTTTACCTATGTAGTTACTGTAAAAAGAAAAAAAAAACTTTTTTGAAAAGCGTTGCATTTTCCTCGGAGTTGTTTGTGGTGCTGTATACTGGCAGTTCTACCAGGATTTGCACACACTTTAATGAATTGCACAAAATCTGGAGTAAGAATAACCAACCTTTCATTTTGGCTGTGGAGGACTGCATGAAATGATGTTATTGAAATATATTTATTTAATGTAATCCTATTTTATGATTTTTATATTTTCTTTTTTTTCTGAAGTAAATATCTTGTTTAGAAACATTACCTTAAACTTCAGTGACTCTGAAATTACGCTTGAAGACCACATTTGAGGGGGGCAATACAAGAAAGCACACTCTTGTCTTTCTGCTTGGTTCTCTACCTGCCCCCCACCCCCGTCACCTGTGTATTTTTCCTGTACATCTAATGGAAAAGTGGTCGTTCATCAGGAGGCAGCTATCAACCTAGAAGGAAAAAGACTTAACTAGTTTATAAGTTCTTCTTTTGAAGTTACCTTCCTTTTACCACATGGATTAGGTGGAGACCTGGGGCATGCTTCCCTCCTATCAGCAAGGAGGAAACTTAAGAGTCGATATACTGAGTGGCATGAATAAGATATTCTTTCCTTATATCCCTTGTCTTTATTTCACTGGCATCCAAAAACATACTGTGTTACAATTCAGTTTCTGGATGTTTACTGTGACCTAGACACTTGAATATGTGGAGATAAGCTTTAATTCATAAAACAGTCAGAAATAAGTTTAGTTTCTCTTTTCTTTGTCAATTTGGAGATGTCAAGGTAAAATCTTCCTCCCATACTCAAAGATGCTAACAGTGCAGAGCTGCCTTAGTGTGGTTACGTATGAAGCAGACGCGTAGTGCAAAGTGAGTGCAGCCCTGAGTCCCTAACACAGATCGCGAGAGCCCTAGCTCAGTTTGGTACTCAGTTTTCTGGTACTTATAGTAAGGAGGAATAATACCAGTAGTTTACATCAGTCTTAGCGCCACCTAGGTTTATGCAAGCTTCCCCAGTGCTGTGTTACAGGTGCTTTGGATTAGGTAACTACCACCCCTGCTGCTGAGGAGGGGTGGTAGGAGGAAATCATTGTCCCCATTTGGAGAGGAGCATTTTCTATGTGAGCACTAGATGTACTGGGGACAAACAAAGTGTGAAATGAAACTTCCGTCCTTATTTCCACAAGTCATAAAAAGCTGCAGCATAACAGATATACTACTCTCTTTACCCTCTTTCACATGTGCATGGACATGCAAAGATACATACGTTCACGAATGTTTAATGTGCTATATAACCTTATTGAGAATATTTGTCTTGAATAAAAAGTGGTTTCTATTTCTGTTATAAAAAGACCAACTAAACTGCTGTATGTTTCCTCTTAGGGGAGCAAAATTATGTGTGGTCAAAACAAAACGAAAAGAGAGACAAGCAGAGACTCTTACACAGGATTACATTATAACACGTAAGTAACTCAAACATATCTTTAAAAGGACCCGTAGCTCTTTCTCAGGTTTCATATCTTTTGCAGAACATTTAGTTTATATTCTCCCCTCTAAAAAGTTGCAGCCATTCATTAAGTATTGAGCATTGCTGTGAGATGTTAGTGTTTCATATAGTATTATTCAGTGTGTCCTGTAAAGTTGTTAATCATTATTGTTTCCTAGATTCTGGTGCAAGTTTCACGCAGCAGAAGCCTGAAAGGACAGCTGTTTGCATTCAGAAAGTTGGGATGTTCTTTTATATGTTTTGTTAAAGAAGAAGGGAAGAAAAAAGCAAGATAAAGTAAAAAAAAAAAAAAAAAAGCACAAGATATCTTTTTTTTTCTCTCAAATCCTCAGTTTTACAGAATTAAAATGAGAGAGTATAGGCAGGTCTAGGAAGCTTTTTGTCACTTGGGAACATTACAGTATGAGTGGCAAAATCAAAAACATTAGGAATAGATCTTGAACAAATTCCAAGTGATTTTTCGAAATTTAGAACTTGTTTTTAAATAGTTTTAAATAGCTTTTAAATAGTTAAACCCCAGCATCAGGGTTGTTCTTGTGTACACCCTCATGTTCCTTATTAAGACTTGCTGATAAATAAGAAATTGTTATCGTTTTTACCATAAATGTTTAGTGACCTGGCTTTTCCCTAGGGCAAACTTAACAAGGGGGTGATGGGCTCAGCTGAGATCCATCCCTCCCGATTAGCCCTGCCCTGTGCCGTCCTACCTGATGGGGACTGAGAGCAGTGACAGGGTTGTGCTGTCCTCTTCCTTTTCTTCCTCTTCTCCCAGTTCCACAGCATCTGGATCCAGTCCTGTTTTCCAGTAGTCTTGTTCTTGGAAATAACATTTCATTTTTATTGAACATACAAATTGTTTGGCAGCATAATAAACAAAGACAAGGTTTAGAATCAGAAAGTCTGGGTAATCTTAGTAGCCAAGCCTGTATGAAGGCACTTTGGTTCTGGGCTCCCATCTCAGGTACTTTCCAGCTACAGCTGTCTCTTACTTATCCTGCTGCTGCAGATGTGCAGTTCCCATTCCTGGGTAGCAGTGGGTAAAGTAGCAGCTGACAAAGATCAGAAATACTTGTCTCTTCTGGGTGCCCTTCTCACCCCATCCTTACTACAGCCCCGACTCTATCATCACACAGCCTATTATCTAAATACTTTGTGTATGCTGTTGTTAATGTTTACACTGTAAAGAGTTTTTGTGATTTTTAAAAAAAACTTTCTACTTAAAACCCAATGGAACTTGTGTATCCAAGTGCATCCAAAGGTGTTTATAAATGCCATTCAAAGGTACGCAAATTTAGATTTAGGTCCAATTTTTGCAAAGTTTAGGAACTTTGTCATTGAATTTTGACCGTTTAATTATACTTTCCACATCATTTTTAAACTAAATAAAGATCCTTCCATATAAAGTAATGCAGCAAAATTGTTTGAGAGCTTGTAGTGAAGTACTTGTAAGGATTTGCTTTACGATTTTTTCAGTTTGTTGCTTATTCTGGAAACTTTTCAGAGGTTGCATTTCTTCCTTTTAAGCTTGCAGATAGAACTGGACAGAACGGAATATCTCAGAAGTCCTTTCCCAAGTGAACCAACCTTTTTTTTTTTCCTTGACTTTTTTTTCCTTAACTTTTTTTGGATTTCTTTTTGACTTTTTTTGCTTTTTTTACTTTTTTAGTCTGCTGTCAGAA